TCTCTCTCTCTCTCTCTCTCTCTCTCTCTCTCTCTCTCTCTCTCTCGCACCCTGTCAGCATAGAGCTCAGCAGATTTCCCACAGGGACACACCAGTGTAATTAACACTCAGATATAGGAACATAGATCGGCGAAGCCGTCCTTGTCCCTGTTAAAAGGCTGGGCTGGAACCCAAGGGCTTGGCAGTGAGCTGTGTATATATTTTGATTCAGGATCTCACTAAATGGCCTAGACTGAGCTTAAATTTGTGATTCTTCCCTCAGCTTCCAGAGCGCTGGGATGCCAGGCATGTGCCCTCACGTTTGAACTGTATATGAATGAATCACAAAGAACTCACTGCCTGCGTGCTGCCCACTCAGCTCTGGGCTTGTGCATGGCTGCTGGAGCTGTGCGGCGACAGCCTAACGGGCAGAAGTGTGCTGGACAGGGTCGTAATCTAGGGGGTCGTAATCTCGCCAGCATTGTACTGGAGGCGCTGTCTCGTGCAGTGCACACCCCTACAGATGTTCAGAGCGTCCCCATGCACTGAGTCACAAAGAGTACACTGTCAGACTCAAGCAAATAGAGCCCAAGGACAGAGATCAGCCCGAAGAAGAAACACGGGCATGGAAAGATGGATCAGTCCCCTGCGGGGACAGATACGGGGTTCCTCTGCTGTCACCACCTAATGCCCATCTCTCCGCAGGCAGTTCACCAAGATCGAGGCCGCCACCCAGCGTCTGGCCCTGTCCATCCTCTCCCAGGAGGCACCTGCCCAGAGACCGCCACCCCGAAGGCCGCCTCCGCCCTCTCCAGCCCCCTTCCTGGGGGTGGCCTGTGCCGTGGCCCCCACGGAGCTAGCCCACACCAGCCCCAGCTTGAGCCTGGCTGCCCTGGACGCCTCCCCGCTCGACTTGTTTGAGGACATCGTGCTTCCCCCAGAGGGTCCCCTTGTGCCCTCTGACCCCCAGACCGCGGACACCGCCCCCCAGGCTCCGCCTCTAGGCCTGAACGCGCTGGGGGAAGGAGCCGAGCCTGGCCCTCTGCCCTGGGGCTGGGTGGGCGGGTGGGACGCACCTTGTGCCTGGGGCTCTCAAGGAACCCTGGAGGAGTGGGGGGCACCATGACGCCCAGCACCTGACCCGCCGGGACGCGAGGGAAGGGGAAGGGAGGAGGACCCCGCCCCTGCCCCGCTGCCCTTTACCCCGGCGCGGCCCGGCTTTCCCGGCGAGCAGCCCTGCGACTACCCACTGGATAGAAAATAAAGACGGCCCTGAGCGTGTCCACAGACACCGCGGGCGGGCAGCAAGGCGGAGTCCTCAACCGACCGCGCCCCGGGGCTTTCCGGGAAGGTGCCCGGGTGTCTCTGTGAGCCTACTTTAGAAAAAAAGAGCCCCAGCTGGGCACAGCTTCCCCCGCGCGCCCCGCGACCTGGGGACCTGGGAGGCGTGGCAGCGCGGCGGTGTCCCGCGTTTGCAGCAGGCACTTGCTTTCACCCACCGCAGCAACCCCTAGACCTGTGCCTATGCCTGCCACTCACGCCATCCTCGGCTCTCCATTGGTCGCACGCGCTTCTGTCCCGCCCCCATCTCTCGGTGAACCCATCACAAATCAAGACTGACAGCCTTCGGGCACCGCCCCTCAAAGGCAGCGCAGAGGCGCCTATAGATTGGTCGAGAGGGAGGGGCGGGGCAGTGCGAGGCGAGCGACCATTGGCTGTTCGTCTCCGCCGCCCCCTAGTCCGGACTCAGCCGAACGGTGACCCTGCCGCGATCCCGCGGGCTCCAAGCGGCCAGTTTCAGTCTCACCGGCCGAGGGGCAGCCCGGCGCGAACCGGCACTTCCGGTGAGTCCCGCTCGCCACTCTCGTGCTGCAGTCGACTGACCGTCCCGCGTGCAAGTGGTAAAACCGAGGCTGTGCGGACTGGAGAGATCCCGCGGCGGGGACAACTCCCCTACCCCTTTGGGTCATTGGCTGTGCGTCACGCATGCGTTTAACCCCCATTTCTCCAGGGGAAACTGAGGCCCAGCCAGTGGAACGTGTTAGAGGTCCCCAGCTATTGAACAGCCCTTCAGCCATGGAGGGTTCCTTCCTGAGCCTCCTCCTATCTCTAGCCCCAAGGGTAACTGCTCTCTGGACCCCTGTCACCCTATACTCGCTTGGCTGAGCTCTAACCTTATGTAAATCTTGCTTTTTGCTTTTAGTTTTCAGTACCGGGGGTTGAGCCCAGGGCCCTCACCCCTGAGCTACATCCCAGTCCTTTTTAGTTTTTATTTTGAAACGGGCCTCACTCATAAGTCACTGAATTACGCAGGCTGGGCTTGAACTTGCAACCCTCCTGCCTCAGTCTCCCATAGTGCTGGGAAGACAGGCAGGCACTGCCACATCTGGCTCCCTTGTCCCCTCTGTACACTACTCTTTGTCCTTTTGCTTCTTGTGAGCACTTATCCCTACTGCTATCTACTTGTCATTGTTCCTGCTGCAAAGACTCCATGGTGTGGCTCATGGCGATGTGAGTGGCCCGTGCCCTGGGAGTAGACTCCGGATTTCTCCGCCCCTGTGTCCTGCCCTGTAGGAGCTCGGATGGGCGGCCGTGTCCGCTGCGAGGGCAACGCTTGGTGCTGGGCGTATCTCACTGAGAATGGCAGCTGTCCCCTGGGCTTGTTGCTGCCATCTGCCTGCCAGCCCAAAGCAGGAGTCCTACTCACCAAGTGCGCTGCAGCAGGTTGCCCTGTCGCCCTGGTGTTGGGGGTGAGAAAGAGGCTCCAGCCGCAGGGGTTTGGCTTCTGGTCAAACCTCTTGGCACTGGGCCCAGGTGGGGTTTGTGACAGGGAGAGCCCTTCACTCTTCGCTTCCCAGACAGAGCCAGCCTGAGAAAACCCAACAGCTACAGGATTCATTTTGTCAGTCTGGCTTTGTATAGGAGGAAGTTTCCATTCCATCTTTTAAAAACCAAGATAAAGGCCAGGAGATGGCTCAGTGGAATAAGTACTTCTCCGGCAAGGGTAAGGACCTGAGTTCAATCCCTGATTCCACAAAAAAAACCCCAAGATAAGACAGGGGTGGTGGCACATGCCTGTAATCCTGGCACTTGGGAGGCTGAGGCAGGAGGATGTTGGGAGTTCAACAGCAGCCTGTGCTACAAAGTGAGTTCAAGGCCGGCCTGAGCTGCATAGCAAGACCTGTCTCAAAAAGACAGACGGTAGATAAAACCAAGATAAAATTCACGCGATGCCAATTTACCACGCACCAGGACTGCAGTTCTGAGGACCTGAGTTCATCCCTTACACAGACAAAAATAAAGAGGGAGAAAAATATTCAAACATAAATCCCTTGTTGGTCGTGACAGTTAAGCATGTTACACATGGAACAGGTTTTCTATGACTGCTGAACTCTCACGGGCCCCTGTATTGATTTTGTTTTAAACCTGGGATTGAACTCGGGCCCTTACACTTGCCAGGGAAGCGCTTATTCTACTGAGCCACCTCCCTGGTCCCCCTGTGTTGAATATTAATAATAAACACCTGTGTATTCACCTCGCTTAGAAAAACAAACCCCAGTTATTGCCCCGTCAGGACCACAGCGAGCGTAAGCCACAGAGGCCAAGCAGCACACATGGTGGGGTACTCGGCAGATGTCGAGCCCCGCAGCCCCTGCCATGACACAGGCCTCTAGGGAGTCAGGAACACACTGGGTTGGGCCAGAGTGTGGCCACTCACTGCCCTGCTGGACCTCGGCTTCCTCCTTTGTAGGACAGCTGAACAGGTGGCTTCCCCACCCCCAACGCTTCTTTGTCTTTTAATTGTGATGAAACATATGTAACAAAACTTACCCTTTTAGGGGCTGGAGAGATGGCTCAGTGGAATAAGTGCTTCCCTGGCAAGCGCAAGGGCCTGAGTTCAATCCCTAGTTCCGCAAAAAACGGGGAGCTGGCTCAGTGGAATAAATGCTTCCCTGGCAAGCACAAGGGCCTGAGTTCAAAACTTACCCTTTTGGATGGGCATGGGTATACCATTGTAATCCCAGCAGTCTGGGGGACTGAGGCAGGAGGATCTCAAGTTCAAGATCAGCCTGAGCAAATTAGTGAGGCCTTGCCTCAAAATTTAAAAACAAGGTAAGGGCCTGGGATTACAGCCCAGTGCAGAGGGCCTGGGTTCCATCTCTAGTACTGCCAGAAATAACAAACTGACGCTCCATGTGTATGGGGGTCGCGGGCCATGGGATCTGTCCTGACACACACCAGACCCGCGCCCCAGCCTGAAGACCAGCACGTGACCACTTAAAATGCACAGCTAAGTGGCATTCAGCCCACTCATGGTGTGCAGGGCCCACTACTGCCTAGCTTCCACACCTCATCGCCCCGAGTGGCAATTCTATATCCATTCGGTCACCCCAAATTGCTCCCTGCCCACTCCCCAGCCCTTGCTACGCTGCCTTTCATCTGGGCGAGTTGTCCATCCTGGGCATTTCCTACAGACACTGGTACCTGTGTGGCCTTTGTCACCGGCCTCTGTCCTGGAGCATGATGTTTGGGGCTCCCCTTTCATGCATCTAAGCAACCCCTTTCCTTCAGCTGCAGTGCTTGGGTGGGGAAACCAGGGCTGCAGAGCAGCCAGCTGCCGCCTAGGGAGGGCTGAATGGCTCTGAGGCCCTGCAGGAGGGGATCCTGGGCAGGGGGTCTCAACTCAGCTCCTTGGCCAGATCTGTCACTTCTCGGGCCTCAGGAGAGCCTCGGGGTGGGGTCCACCGAATACCCCACTTGGGTGCAGAGACACTGAGCCTGCACACTGTGACACTGTGCATCTCTGGGAGGGATGAGGCCAGCAGGTGGGAAGTGACCGTGGGCCTGGGGTAAACACAGAGGCATCCAGGGAGGGGGCTTCCAGCTGCAGAGACAAGGAGAGAGGAGCAGGGCAGGGGACAGAGGGACAAAGGCTAGGGGTGGGAGGGAGCAGGGCGTATATCACAGGCTGACACACCTAGGCAGTCTCTGCCCTGCCCCTCTGTCGCCCCAGAAATGGCAGCAGCCAGGCCCAGCCTGGGCCGTATCCTCCCGGGATCGTCCATCCTGTTCCTGTGTGACATGCAGGAGAAGTTCCGCCACAGCATCATGTACTTCCCAGAGATCGTTGCCGTGGCTGCTCGGATGCTCAGGGTAGGGACAGGCCCTCTCCCTCAGATGGCTCTGAGTCTGGGCCTGGCCTTCTCCCTCAGTGCTGGGCCTTTCCTTTCTGCGCAGGCAGCCCGGCTGCTGGGGGTTCCAGCCGTGCTGACGGAGCAGTACCCTCAGGGCCTGGGCCCCACAGTGCCGGAACTGGGTGCCGAGGGCCTCCCGGCCCTGAGCAAGACCTGCTTCAGCATGGTGCCCGCCGTGCGGCAGGAGCTGGACCGCCGGCCCCAGCTGCAGTCCGTGCTGCTCTGTGGCATCGAGGCTCAGGCCTGCATCCTGGTGAGGCGCTCTGGCCCCCGTGCATCCCCAGCCTACCCAGGACTCCCCTGGCTTGGGCGCCCCCCGTGACCCCAGCCCGCCCTTCTCTGAGCACCTTCCCCCATCCTGGCCTATCTGACCCCTAACCCACATCCCTTCCCTGCCCCCCCCTTCCCATCCCCCCTCTGCCTCAGAACACAACACTTGACCTGCTGGCCAGGGGGCTTCAGGTCCATGTGGTGGCGGACGCCTGCTCCTCTCGAAGGTGAGGGTCTCCCAGGTGAGAGTTTGGGGCCCGAGGGTTGGTGTCCAACCAGGACAGTGTGGACACCTCACTCCATTTGTGCAGCCAGGTGGACCGACTGGTGGCACTGGCCCGCATGCGGCAGAGCGGCGCCTTCCTCTCCACCAGCGAGGGGCTCATTCTGCAGCTCGTGGGTGATGCTGCCCACCCCAAGTTCAAGGAGGTGAGGGCCGTGTTCCCATGCTGGGTCCCAGGAGCTGAGTTCTGGGGGTGCTCACGTAACTGAGCGAAAAGAGACTGTGGGGAAAGAGCACGCAGGGTGAACTGGGGCGTCGGGGTGCAGGGTGGAGTGTGCTCTGGAGAGTGGGAGGGGTGCAGCAGACAGCCTAAAGGCAGGAGCCCCAGTCCCCCCAGCTGTCCCCTGGGCCTTTACACTAGCTGGCCGGGTGTTCCCTTGATGATCTCTTGGCCTCCACGGTGCTTCTAGGGTGGCCTTCCTGATTCCAGGGACAGACCACGCCTGGGTCCCTGCTTCAGAACCTTGCCCTAAGGATGAAGGGGAAGTGTGGGCCTCAGTGTTTCTGTCCTGCTGAGCACTTACCGGGCACTGAGGGTGTGCTGGTTGCCTGGGTCACCCCGGGCAGCTGCGCCAGGCCTCCTGGCGTTGGCCTCACCATGTGGACATAAAAAGCCACAGGGAGCTCAGGTGCACACTGGCCTAGAGCTCGGGAGGGAACGTGCAGCACGAGAGCAGCAAAATCCATAGTGACCTCGAACACAGGAGCAGAGCAGCCTGTGGTCACAAGTTCCTGGAGGAGGGAATAGCTGGAGAGACAAAGGCCAGAAGGCAGCCAAGCAACCGCACCATAGGAGCTGCGTGGCTGGCAGCCTGTGCAAGGCATGGAGGAGTCAAAGCAGGCGGGAGCCGGAGCCAGAACTTGGCAATGATCTGGATGTCTAGCAATGGGCAGCCGCTGCATTTGGCACTGGGATGCTGGCTGGGGTCAGATCACAGTGTACAAAAAGCCGCACCAGTGATCCCAGCTCCCTGGGAGGATAAGGCAGGAGGCTCGCAAGTGGGTGGTAAGGAGGAGAGGAGGGCTCCAGCTTGGAGGGTGCCTGAGGCACCCAGCTAGCTGTGCTGGGGCCTTAGCCAGGGCAGTAGCCAGTAGGTCGGTCCTGAACACAGTAGGGCTCCTGGTGAACGACGTGTGGATGTTCACTTGTGCTCAGCTAAGAAATAATGGCCTAAATGGACCTGGAGTGGAAGGCCCAGGCCTGAGCTGGCTCTGGTAGGTGAAGGACCAAGAGTGATGGGCCAGAAAGGTGTGGACAGGAAGCCCAGGGTACAGTCAGCCGGCAGACATGTGGCACGTGCTTAGGAAGAGAGCCAGCCGGGTGTGATGACTGCGACTGTAGGCACAGTTAGGAGCTGAGCTGGAGGGCTGTCCTTGGCTCTGCATGGAATGGGGACCCTGGCCTCTTCTGGATAGACCCCCAACTCTCCTTGCAGATCCAGAATATCATTAAGGAGCCTGCCCCAGACAGCGGGCTGCTGGGCCTCTTCCAAAGCCAGAACCCCCTCTTCTGATGAACCCAGGACCCTGCTTGAGGAAAGCCCACCCTTTTGTCATAGTAACCTGGTTGGAAGCACTGCTCCCCCCACCCCCCGCAAATCCCTGGATCCCAAGAGTGGTGCAGTCCACCTGGAGTACCGCCCCCTTGGAGGAGGGGGCGTGGTTCTGTCTTTTCATTGGGTAGCCGCTCCAGGAAATGCAAATAAACTCCTGGGAGTTGGGCGGGAATTGGCTGAGAGCAAAGTGGAGGCGGAGCTAGGCCCCGGGCCACTTCACGAGGCGGGGAGGGGCGGGGGAAGTGTCACCGACTGTGGGACCCGCACTCGCGGAATAAACATTGATGTGGCTCTGGGCCGAACCATTTTTGGGTTTGGGGGTGTCCCTGGGGCCGCGGGCTGGAGAAAGAGGGGTCCCCGGCAGGTGGGGAGGGGGAAGTCCTCCAGCTCTGAGCCCTGCGCGGCGCAGGCAGGAGAGGGCTGCGGTGGCCACATCTGCACGCGCGATCTCGCAGGCCGGGGTCCCCCACGCTGCCGACAGCCCCCGCCGGCGCGCGCACGCCTGGCCCGCGGGCTCGCAGACACGCGCTCGCTGCCTCCCCCGCCGGCCCCACGCGCCACCCCCGATCCGAGGGCCCCGCGTCCGGAAGGTGAGGTGAGCGCAACCGCACCTGGTGCGGAGGGGAAACTGAGGCACGAGGGCGTGGGGAAGGAGGGGACAGGCATGCAGACAGATGGACGAAAGGACAGACAGCTGCAGCTGAGCTTCCCGGCTGCCCCAAGGCGCGGGCTTCCCAGACCCACCTGGCGCTCCTAGGGATGCTGCTGTCCCGGATCCCCAGCCAGGACCCCTCCGGGCTGCAGAGACCCAAGCGCGTCCCAGGTGCTGGGGTGCAGCCCGAGCCCCCGGCCGGCCGCCCCCGCAGAGACCCCCGCAGGCCCGGCATCTTAGCCCCTGGGGCCCAGGAACCCAGGACGGACGGGCGGGCGGCGTCTGCGCCCCGGCCCCCGCCTTCCGGATGCAGGTGTCCCCTCCGCACCCCCAGCTCGGCCTGCGTCTCGGCGCACTAGCGTCGCCATGGCAACCAGAGTCTATTTTGCGCTGGGAACACACAGCTCCACCGCAGCTCCCCCCACCACTGCGCCCCGAGCGGGGGCCGCGGGCAGCGCCAGGGACAGCAGCCTGGGCTGGGGGACACGCTTGTTCCAGCGCGGGGGTGCGAGCCAGGGGTGGCAGAGGGAGGTTCCCGAGCCCCATCCCCCTCCTCCTTCCTCCCTTCGTGTCTCCCGCCTGCTCCCCGCATCCTCTCGCCAAACCTACCCACCACTCCCGGGACCCCGCCCCCTCGCCACCGCCACCCCCGGCCCCTCTGCCGCCACCTGTCGCTCCCCTCTCCGCTGCAGCAGAGGCTCCATCCCTCTCTGGTCCCGGTGCTCTTGACCTCCCCTGGGACACCGGGTCCCCTCTCCAGAGCGCACCCCTGAGCACACGGCCCCTGCCTCCCTGTCCCACCTCTCAGTCTCTGTCCACCCAGGGCCACCCCTCTCCGTCCGGTTCCCCTCCAGTGGGTCTGGCCCCTCAGCCCACTCGTGCTCTTCCACGGGGGCCTCCCTGGGGCCCCTTGACCTCTGTCCTGCATCTCAGGTCCCTGTTCGGCTGGACAGAGCCCACGTGAGATTAGGGCCAGTGGCAGCGCTGGCAGAACCTGGAGGCCGAGTCTTATGCTAGGGTCAGACACATAGAGCCCACCACTATGGTGGGGAGCTGCGTGTCCACATGCAGAGGTGCTGCAGGACACCTGTGTCCCTGCGCACGTGTCTGGGCATGGCCCAGGCGACCCACACTCTGTGTCACTGTGTGCTTGTGTGCCAGGTTGAGGGTATGTGTGGTCTTTCAGGTAGAAGAAGAACTTGTTCCCCAGTCAATCATGTCTAGAAGGGTCAGCACCTCCCCCACTGTGTATATGGAGGTGTGTGTGGAGGCCACCTGTGTGTGTGTGTGTGTGTGTGTGTGTGTGTGTGTGTGTGTGTGTGGTAGCAGGAGGGACCTTGTTTCCTGAGTCTGGCCAGAGTCACGGCACAGAAGGGGCACAAGTGCCCCAAAGTCCACACTGCAGTATCCCTAGGCAGGTGGCACCTGCCAGTCTGATCAGGCTCCTCCCAGAGCGGAGGGATGCACTCCTCTGACACCTGCCCAGAGAGGAAAACCCAGCTGGAGCTCACCCTCTCAGCCAGGCCTCCTCGTGCAAGGCACAACCTGCACACAGCAACCCAGAGCTAGAACTCAAACTTGCGATCCTCCTGTCTCAGGCTCCCAGATGGCGCGGGATTACAGGGAGTTGTAGCCTTCAGTGAGGGGATCCACAGAGCTGCTGGCATCTGCACCCCTGGGAGCGGCGTGTCCCGACCCCCATCCCAGCACATGCAGTAAAGCCCTCTGCGCCATGCCTGCTCAGCGCTTCAGCCCTCAGCTTGGCCACTGTGCAGCGCAGGCAGCTCGCCGGGCCTCCTGAGAACAGAGTCCTCACTCAGGGCTGTGGGCGCGAGCACATGCCTGCCTCACACTGGCTCCATGTTTGCCATGGACTGAGCCTTTGTGGGCACTGTGCTGGGTGGCATGAGGTGAGGTGGGCCAGGTGACACAGTGTGGCACAGAGCTGAGCCACAGGAAGGAGTGGGGCTGCCGTTACGCACAGGCCGCAGGCCAGGTCCACCCCAGAGTGGGCATGTGGGGCTTGCTCCTTCATTTTTTCCTGATGAATGGATGGCAGCACCTGGGGTGAACCCAAGGCTGCGCACTGTTGAATCTCTCCTTGAGATGTTTTTCTGAGCCTGGGCTCAAATTTGGAATCCTCCTGCCTCAGCCTGCAAGAGTGTTGGCTCTTTGTTCACCTGAGTATCCACCAAATGCCACAGTGTGGGCCAAACTGTTTCTAGGTCCCCGTGAGACAGCCATAAGGATGCACTGGCAGGCAGTGGGGGTTCCTGGCTGAAGCCCAGGGAAAGGCAGGGCTAACTGAGGTGGGGTCCAACCCCTCATAGTGCTGTCCTTGTCCTCTGCCCACTGTTTCGTTGCCCACATGTCCCTACACACACAGTGGAGGGCGCAAAGAGTAGGAGTGCCTGGAGTTCTGCAGGCCTCCGCCCCGCCAGGGATCTCCACAACTCCTCGGGGCCCTGCCCACACATGGCACTTTTGTTTTTTATTTTTTTAGTACAGGGACTACAGGGTCTCACTTACACAGATCAGATGCATAGTGATCTTCTTGTTTTCAGCCTTCCCAGTGCTGGGGTTACAGGCGCACCACCACACCCAGTCTCAGTTGCCTCTCCGTGCGCTCTGGGGACTGGGCTGCAACGGTATGCTGGGGATCGAATCCTGGTCTGCTGAGCTATCTGGCCAGCCCCACTTTTAGTTTTGTGTCCCTAACTGTCCCCCCTCACAGGGAGGTCAACCCCAACCCATAGGAACCCACAGTGCTCACCAAAGCATACTCTAGGAGGCTGAGGCAGGAGGACTGGAAGTTCAGGCCCAGCCTAGCAGACCTTAGATGAAGACTCATTATGTGTAAATTATCTGAAATCTCATCTGAAAATTCATAAAGGGCCAGGAGTTTTAGTTCAGCCGAAGAGTCCTATGTTCAATCCTCAGTAACCTCCTCCCTCACCACACACAGCCTCTGGGGGTGCTCTGCGGACCTGGCTGCCCAGGATGCAAGCAGATCTACCTCCAGCGCCAGCGCAGGGGCTGTGCTAGGCTGACGGGGTGGCCTCTCGGTAGCTGCTGGGGTCCTCACCTTGCAGAGAAGAGAGGAAACCCAGGGAAGCCCCGCGGGGCCTCAAGGAGTCTGCAGCCCAAGCCCGGCCTGCAGACCCTTTCTGTGAGCGTGTGCGTGCGTGTGTGCGTGTGTGTCTAGTTAAAGGAAATAAACGCGTCTGTGGACAGAAGACTGCAAAAGTGTAACCAGGTTCTCAACTAGGGGCACTTGCATCCACCTCCGGGAAGGCCTGAGGCATTTTAGGAGGCCGACCTCCGGGGCGGGGGAATGTTCCTGGCATTGGGTGGACGCCGCTAAACGTCCCGCCATGCACGGATGGGCTCCCCAGCAGACCAGGATGCGACCCCAGAATGCCACTGGCCAGACTGAGAAGCCCGGCAGCCAACTCTGACGCTCAACTTTCTGTCCCTCTTCTCCCCTCCCTCCTCTTCCCCGCCCACCCCCGCCCCCACACCTGGCCCTGCAGCGCTCCCCGGGACCCCTCCCTTATCTGCTCCTACCGCGCGCTCAGCAGCTCTCGGCGCCGGACAGCTGCGAGGGGAGTGTCCGCGCTGGAGCCGGATGGAGCCCGAGAAAGGGCACTAGCCCTCCGCTCCTTGCGACAGCGGCTCTTGGGTCATCGTCC